TGATATCATGTTGTAAGTTGATATTGTTTATTGAATTCATATATTTAACCATTAAAATGTACTTTTTGCTTGTACACTGACGATTCAATACGTACAAAACCATTTAAGGGAAAAAATAATAACATTTAATTATTTAGTATAGGTAAGGATATTTTAAAGTTAATTGTTTCTTTTTACTATATTCTTAAAATTTTTGACGTAACTAACTATATATGATTCTTGAGGTTAAATTGAAGCAATGAATTTCACAAACATTTTGAACATTCAGTCGATTTATTTATTTGAACACATAAATATTGGTACAACAGGGCACCAAATATATATGCGCCACACTATATAAAGTGGGAATAAAAGAGAGTGAGTAAATGATGTAGTAAATAATAATAATAATAACTTGGATCGTCTGATTGTTAATCGAAGCAAGTATAGTATTCTTCGTAAGTATTGTCATTTCATTCTGTTTGTGTGTGGACTGTGATACTGCACGGGTGCCCAGACCGAAGCAGGTGGTTTTCATAGAGGGCCACACCCCGAGCCTTCGACCTAAAGGTATGACCCACAAGACAGTGGAGTATCGTGAGGAGATGCAGTCTCATGGTAGCCAGTGACCAACGACTGGTTTATACGCCATTTATTCCCACAGGATACTGGAGACCATGTGCACTATTGGTTTGGGATCCGGTTAAAGCGCTGGACATTCGCTTTTCGTCCTCTCATTTTCGTAAGCGACACTCCCGCCACGAGAATACAGTGAGTAGGACTTCTCTGGCAGGGGCTGTATACGTGTGGCCGTGAGAGAGCATTTCGAGAGGTAAGGCTGGTCCACCCCACTATTGGCCATACCAGTCGATGATAGCTGATAATTATGTGGACAAAAATAACGAATGTGTGGGTATCTTTGCGAAAACATTGAAATTACCATAGTTTAGGTGTGGAAAAAAAGAAAACAATCAACTACAAAAATAGATTTGTCAAACGCTGGGTTATTCTTAATCTTAATGATTGTATTTTAGCATACATAATTAATATCCTTACTGTGAGCTTACCTTAACTTGGCTGAAGATTTTGTTCAAATGGTGTAATAAGTAAAAGTCACAGTAAAGAATGAATCCTCAACTTTCTGATAATATTTAAAGGTAAGTAATTCTCTGTTAAATGCAATTTTCTTTTGATTAATTTGTGGCAGTACAATGTTTTCCACTTTAAAGTCTTCATAATCACAATTCGGCTTTTAAATTCATATTAACTGAAAGATGAGTCAATAAGTTGCAGACACCTAGATCGTCTCATTTCTCCAAGTATTTCCTGATTAATTTGTAGTTGCCAATATAATGTTGAATTCCATAGGGTACTTTAATAGAGTAATGTGTTATATCTGCTTGGAACGCTTATTAAAATCATAATACGATAAAGAGAATTCAGCGAAGAAAATTTTCTTTTCGACGGAATCATTTACTTAAGCTGTACATTCGTATATATAGTTATGTGGAAAATGTATGTCTGTAGAAGTATAGAATGGATTGTATCACAAAAATGGATTCGACAATAAATAACAAATGAGGTTAACGTACTAATCAAGGGGTAAGGAAGAACAAAATTTAAGGGTCAGATAATAGTCCAATAGATATGATTGAATCCAACCTCTCATCCTTCCCTGGCCCTAATTCCCTTAATGGGTATGTTTCTAGGTGTTTTTTAATGCACTTTTATTATTACTATTTTGCACTTTAAACTCTAATCATTTATTATTATTACCTTTTACAAGTTTTCTTGATTATTATTCAGTCTATTATTATGACCTTTGTTCTTTTGTCGTTTTTCTTCATATCTATCAATTGGACTATTATCTGACCCTTAAATTTTGTTCTTCCTTACCCCTTGATTAGTACGTTAACTTCATTTGTTATTTATTGTCGAATCCATTTTTGTGATACAATCCATTCTATCCTTCTATAGACATACATTTTCCACATAACTAAATATACGGATGTACAGCTTAAGTAAATGATTTCGTCGAAAAGAAAATTTTCTTCGCTGAATTCTCTTTTTCTTATTCAATGACACTATGGGTTATTTTAATTATCATAATATGGTATTATGAATAAGTCAATCAGTCATGTGTAACAAAGATCCTGGTACATATATGCATTGGATCTAATTGTTATGACATATAAGCAACAAAATTATCAAGACAAATCCCAGAGTAGTAGGAGTAGTAACATTATTTTGGGCAACAAGATAAACACCAAAATTGTTTTCTTGCATTTTTTGTTTCATTATTAGAAATGAAACGAAGATTTAAGCAATTCTAATAGTAAATGTATACAATTAAAAACAGAGTTTGTCTACTACATAATAAAAATTATTCACAACCTACTATTCATTTCTCTTTTCTTTTGAAACCAGTTTTACCTGTTAATATCATTAATCTATCTATTGTAGATGAATAAGTTAGGCTACGTTGAGATCTATTTATCATAGAAAACAATTAAATAGATTTGTTTAAATGAACATAAAAGTGGTTAAATTCAATTAATTAATGAATTAAACAGCTGCGAATTTGTAATTCACTTTAGAATGTATTGCATCAACTTTATACGTATATGTTGAACGCCAAAACAGTTCGCTCAAATTAATGAATTGATTAAATTAACTGTAAGATACCAAATGTTCTTTTTCTATTATAACAGTTAAAATAAATAAACTGTAGCTTAGTAAGTGATATATATAAACAAAGATGAAGTTTTAAAAGGTAATTAAGTGAACTACTTAGAAGATAAAGGTCACTCATTCATTGTATTTATGTTGTAATTACTTATTTATGAACCTTTAACAATTTTAAATCGTATCACTAAATGTAATAAAACTAAGTTCAAACTGTCTAATCTGTTAGAAAATTATTTGTTCTCTCTGTTTATTTCAAATTTCTTTGTGATTTCAACAATAAACAAAAAACATGAATTATATCTATGCTGGATGAATTTCGACCTCAGCGTCAAATTCATCAATGTATTTAAATGTTATACGTAATATGAAAAATAAAATTTTAAGTAAATATTAAGAAATCAGAAGGGGTTTTGTGGAGATTGTAGTAATTTGAATGGTTAAGATCTTGAGTCAATTGAAGCTAGACCACCATGGAAAACCTGGAAGCACTGGACGGCCGTTTCGTCCCATTGGGACTCCTCAGCAGTGCGCATCCATGACCTCGCCCCTTGCGAGATTCGAACCCAGGACCTACTGGTTTCGCGCACGAGCACTTAACCACTAAATCACTGAGCCGGCATCCAACGATGCTAATGTCTAACTTCAACTAATCCACGAAATTGAGAGGCACATCCACCATTGTCATCAGTGAGTTACATTCTCACAACAGACCTGGTTGAACTCCACTGGTCACTGCTTCTCACTAGGACTCCAGGATATATTTCTTGAAGTCACTCACTAGTGAGTATATGTTGATTAGTATCAGAAGAAATATGACATTGATAAATGTTGAAAGTATCAAGTCATTTAATCAATTATTAAGCATTATAACTTCTGTAGTTTTCAATAAAAAGAAAACTTTTCTCTTGCATAAAAGTGAAAATTATAACAAAACCATTTTTGAGTAACAAATGAATTCTTTTCCAACGTTGAGAACGAAATCAAGACAATTTAAAGAAGGAAGTTGTCTTTTAAACAATGTCATTTATTAAAATTATACATTCATATGCATATCTAATTAGAATCCATATATCTATAACAGAATAGATAGATACTATATCATTTAAAGTGTGATCGAAAGTGTTTTTAGGTATCAAAATCATAAAATAAACCAAAGTGAAAATAGATTATAGATGTAAGATTGTCCACTAGAAGAATAATACGATGTGAATGAGTCAAGAAAAGGAGATCGTACCTCATAAAATGAGAAGTGTGTTGTTGTTTTAAGATCAAGATAATTAATTTCGGTAATGTAACCTCTCCAAAAGCTCATTTTAAGATCATCCAAAAGGTTGCATAAACTGGCTAAAAAAGAATACATCCTATGGATGCACGCACACCAGAAGCTTTAACAGTTCACAGTCTATTTACTGAACTGTCTTAATGACCCTTCTTTTGTTTCCGTGTAAACAGAGGATTTAATAGTCCAAGTTGACTGGTTGATAATGATTGGAAGTGATTCACTTTAAGGGCTACTAACTGAAATTAATCAATGAGTTCTGGTTGCTCAGAAAAAGACAATAGAGGCTACAACTCTATGACCTTTCAATATTATTCTCCTACACCGGCCTACGACTTAGGATTAATTCATTCCTTCTTTTCGTAACCAGGATTCTATAAGTTCCACGTATCTCAAACGAACAAATACTTAGATGTTCAGAACGAAAAACGAGTAACGTTAGCCGTAGTTATACTTGAGACAAAGTCAGTGGGAATTCTACGTGAGAACTGAGTGTCACATTTTCCTTAACAACCTTTCCTTCAGTTATTGATACCATTTATTCATTACGCTGTTCTATACTGAATTTCATGGAAATCTTTCAAACATCAAGGTCAACGTGTTCTTTGGTTTGAATGTTCCGAAAATCAAAACATTGATATTGAATTTAATCTTCACTTCTGCTGTAAAAAAAAATTGCCGTTGTTACTGTAGATTCAACTATGCTTGCACAGGACAGAAACGCTCTAAATACCTGATTCAGTTCGTGATTCAACTCGTCACTAACATTCTCAACATCGATCTGTCTATGAACAAGTTATCTTGCTGTGATTGTTTTAGTGTTCAAACTTTCGCACGCACACACAAGATTGGGAAGGATAATGGAGAGGGTTCAAATATTTGCTCCCAAATGAAACTGATGATGATATGGCTTGTTTGTATTTACTAATAAAATAGTATGATTGTCCTTAAGTCTAACAGTATCTTTTTATATCTAATTTCACTACTGATTACATTGAACCAATTGTCAGAAAAACTTACCCGAGAAACATTCCATTTGAATTAACATTACAAATTGTAATTCCAATTAACTTTACTTCCATGTATTATTTCTCAACTAACAAATTTTTTTCTAAAACAAAGTAAACTTTAATCTATTAGATACAAAATAGACTTACAAATGTACAATATCAATATAAATATGTACAATATTCAAATTTAATTTAAAGAAGAGAAAAAAACGTTTCATCAAAATGTAAAAAATACTTAACAAAGTTCTTTAGCTAATTGACAACATTCATTCGTTGATATATGTTCAGTAATAGCTATTGCATTGGCTAATATCATTATTTCTCTAGCAGAACCAGCTGTTAACCATATTCGTCCATTTGCACCTAAGAATATTTCAAAAGGATACACCTAAGTAAATTACAAGAAAAAGAAAATTTAATAAGAAACTATGATGTCAGAATAAAGAAATACATAGGAATTAAAGTATAAATTATTGAATAATAACAAAATGTTATTTAACATAATATCAATTATCAGTACGAAAGTGAAAGAAAAACAATAACTGTACATATAATGTCAGTCAATCAGTTCATTAAGTAAGAGTTATTATTATTATTATTTATTATTTCAACACATAAATATTGGGTACAAGAGGGCACCAAATATATATGCGCCACACCATATTTATGTGTGTGTAGGTTGTGATACTGCCTGGGTGCCCAGACCGAAGCAGGTGGTTTTCATAGGGGGCCACACCCCGAGCCTTCGACCTAAAGGTCTGACCCACAAGGCAGTGGAGTATCGTAAGGAGATGCAGTCTCATGGTAGCCGATGACCAACGATTGGTTCATACGCCATTTGTCCCCACAGGATACTGGAGCCCATGTGCACCATTGATTTGTGATCCGGTTAAAGCACCGGACATTCACTTTTCGTCCTCTCATTTTCGTAAGCGACACCCCCGCCAGGAGAATGCAGTGAGTAGAACTTCTCTGGCAGAGGCTGTATACGTGTGGCCGCGAGAGAGCATTTCAAGAGGGAGGGCGGGCCGACCCCTCTCTAGGCCATACCAGGGCATTTGGGGCATTAAGTAAGAGTCATTAAATAAATTGGATATATTTAATGATATATAAAAATAAGAAAGAATTCACAAGAAACACACACTATTAACAAATACACAGAACGATGTGATTACAATCATCGATAATAAACAGAAAGCTGGAGGTATTAGATACAGCTATATCAGCAGTAATCAGTTATACGGCCAAATTATTGAACTTTATCACTGGTTCAAGAATTATTACGTAATATATTTGACTTTTCGTAAGTTTTATTCCTTTAAAGTATAGAAATTAAGTTATCGAAACGCATAATTATATTGATCTTGCATCTTCCAACCTCTAATCAAATGCAACTAGCTCAAAATGGAACATTGGAAAACAGTTCGACTAGTACACTAAAGAATACAGAATATATTTTATTTATACAAATTTATGAGTTCGATTTACTGTTTCAGAAGCAGTCTACAATTTCAATCAGAAAGTTTTTTGTATATATTGAATTGTAATGGATAAAAAGCCCACTAAAATTTCAAAGTATCATATAATCTATCGTTTTACTTGATACAAAGTGACTGTAACAAGTAATTAACCAATTCGATGAAAATAAAGACAAACCACGAAGTGTAACTGATTTTCATGTATTTAGCAAAGCTTGTTATCCACTCTAGCGGATAAGCAATTCTACTCCTGTTTTCTCATTATCTCCACATTTTATAATTCATTCATCGACTTGCAGTAATTAAATACTGAATCTGATTCATTCACATGTGCGCTCTCTGTTTTTCAGTCAGACATGTCGAAAAGTTTCCATAGATCGTATATTAAAAATCAAAAATTTAAATCAAAGCAAACACTGTTTAGTAATTTTAAATTTGCCTTTATGAAACAAATTTTTGGTTTAAATATAAACTGTCAGAGGTTAGAATATTTATCTCCTTTAACCTCAAACAACTTTTACTCCTTTCTCTTGATATCACCAGTTGGATAATTATCTTTTTTTCTTTTATTCTTGATGTCTGTCAATTATTATCCATTGATTCATACACGGATAGGTTATTCAATCCCGACCACAACATCCAAAACGGCTCGCCAACAGTGAATGCAAATAAGTAAGTCAATTAGTTAGCAAACAACTTTATGCTACATGGCGCTGTTTGTGACAAATCTATAACAGTTATTTGTTGTAACGTATAGAGCACTTATAGTATTTCACTACATTTTATACTGTTCTCAAAAAAGTTCCTTCTTTTAATCAACACTTTTAGATGGCATAATTCTGACTTGCTAGCTAAAAAGTGAATTTCCGTTTATTGGAACTACAGGTGTTGATATAAAGAATTCACTTGTTTCTAAGATATTCATAAGAACTATAAATAAAAATTATTATACACACTGAGTTTTTACCTTAGATAAAAGTTTTAATAGAGGAAATTCATCTTGATTGCCTAACCGCCTGACCAAATCTTGCGTACAGTGTAACAGTATACCACCAGACCGACCTCCAGCATTACCAACAGTTCCAGGTTCATGACGACCAAGGATACCCATTCCACAAGCTTTCCCCGCCTCATCAACACATGACAATTCAATCTCTAAATCTAAGAAAACTAAATCTCGTTATCAATACTAACAGTCGTTAAGACGTACAATATTGTTAATACAAAAAACACCTTATCGTGTATTCAGAAAAACTGACGACGTCAATCGACTTGAGATAACAGTTCCAACGGATTATGAATTTGTCAGAACTGATGGTATTAATGTAAAATGACAAGTTACAACAATATCTACTATAATACTTTAGAAAGAAAAGATACTGTTCAATTTCTAGATAACAATTCAAACTATATCAATATTTCTCATAAATAGGTGGAGTGAAAGGAGAAAACAGTGGTTATTTTCTGTAAATTTAGGCAAAACTAAATAAAATCAGTAATCAATGATGATGAAATTGTAAGTATTCAGCTACTACGAAACAATTTATTCAAATGTACTAAGAGATGTTGTGTAGTAAAATATTAAAGTATTATCACAGAAGAAACTAGATTTGATAACTTGTTTGGATTTTCAAACAAAACGTCCTTGCAATAAATGAAATGTTTCTAAACGTAATGTGCCGTGTATTATTCAACCATTAACGTTCAAGGAGCGATATCGTTAGACTAATGCTTATTCTGACAATCTGCGTTATTCTTCATACTAATTGTTACAGTGATGCAAACAATTTAGAATAGCGATTATTGCTTTTGCTTACAGTCTACTAGTCGTTAAAAACTAGGTTTGTTTCCATGAAAGAGGCTTACATTAAGAGTAATGCTTGCTTACAGACGTGTGATTGCTCAAAAATGGGAATAATAAAGTTGACAAACAGAAAGTATATAAGTGATTACAGAATAAACTTACCTCTGTCGGCTCGTGTAATCATGGCATAAAGAACATCACCTGCATTAATGTCAGGACGATTCTTTTTAGAAGAACCTTCGAATGATAAGTAATTGAGAATAGCCGGAGAAGCGCAACCTATATCAACTATAAACGATTCACCAGCTTTTTTCATTACAACGCCAATAACCTTGTCCTCTGGTTGAAACTGTCCCACATGACAACGGTATGAGAGGCGAGTAAGTGGAAGTAATGTAGTTACTGAACCATTAGACACAAGGCATTCTACCCAAATGAAATTTTCTGACCTCAAATCACTCAACGAATTTCCCAGTTTAAAACGCTTGATTGTATCCGTTGAGTCTGTTCCTTCCAACTTCTTACATTTGAATTTTAAGATTCCGAACTGTTAAGAGAATTTTTAAAAATGAGAAAATACATCAGCATATTCGAAAATAAATCGTTAGCAAACTTATATAATAATGGATGGAACTTAACCCGTATACTTTAAAAACATAGTGCTGTAAAAGTTTTGATAATCGAAGTAAGCTATGAAATATAACTGAATATGGAAACTAAATAATGCTGAGTGGTATCTGTGTAAAGACTTACACCGCAACAAATCAGTTTTGTTTATTACACATCAAAAAGACCGAAAGATAAAACTACGAGGAACTCATCAATGAAGGATAAGACTAGTACACTGAACCATTTCATATGTTCATGTAAGCCGATAATGGCCATAGCAACAAGTTGAACGGTGAAATCTAGTTGTACAACGCTACTTGGAAATAAAAACCATAAGACTGACCTGTCTTACTAAAATCGAATCCACCATTTTGTTTTTTCCCACTCCAGGTTTCATTCTAGACATCGGCACACAGACAAGACCTGGACCAATAGACCATGATACAGGCCCATCATAAGGTCCAGATAATTCAAAAACCATTCCAGGTAAAACTAAACGATCCAAAAAATTTTGATAACTCGAGTCATTTGATGATGTCTGAAGTCGAGCCCCACGTATGATATTGTCAATGGATGCTAAATTCATTGGATCGGAGACAAATTTCTATCTACTGAATAAATTAAACACTATTATTAGAAGAAAAAACATTTTTGTGATCTTCAATCTAAGACAGATTATTAAAGAGTATAAATGGTAGCAAATACTAAAGAAAACAATTGGATATTTATTTACATATGGGAGGGGAAGATACTAGTAGATTTATGTGTGAAAGTAGCTAAACTAGGCTACCAAACGTCCAATTGGATTTTGTTATTTTCCACTTAATACACAAAATTCGGCATAACCAGGCACCAAAAATAGTATGTGACTGACAAAATAAATAGATAACATCATGGAGAAGTAAAAGAGGAAGGGAGTGTAGTTGAAAACAGAATAAGTGGACAAGATTAATGTATAGGGAAGGATAAAGTCCAGTTAAAAATACAAGTAAGAGAAATTTTTTCAGTTTCTCTCCATTTGAAAGAGAATTTCAAAGAAAACTAGAGCACGAATATTGTTATCTTCGGTTCTTGTCCATTTCTGTTAACGTTTCAAGCCACTGAGTCGCACCATTTTCAGAACCCCAGCTAAGGATTCGTGATTGACCAACGTATTTGTCTTATACAGTTTCCTCTCACACCACAGTTTCATGTCATATACTGACTACTTTGCCTTCGCCATCCAATGCTAAAACCTGCAAGTAATTCATAATTTAGAAGTCACAAGAATGATGCCGTGAGATATGTTTATGAAACCGAAGCCAGTGTTTAAAGGTGGTAACATCAACCAACATTGACAAACACAATGAATATTGACTTGAAATAAGTGTAGCAGTAATTTAACATATAGTGGGATGTGGAGATATAATACACATATCCATAACTTAATCAAAGGCCAGCCTGTTCTATATAATTCAGTCTTCCACGGGTTTAACAAAATCTGAATATGGCGGAATTCAAAAGTTTGGAAGCAGTCAGAAGTAAACTTATCCCCTTAGAGTGCATGCATGGTTAATGCCTGTTAAAATTTGGGATGACGGCTGCTTTACTTCAGGATGTTGGAATAGTCTTTTTGTAAACCTTTTCCACCCTTCTTAGAAACAAAGAGGGTAAGTCGTCTAGGCCTGGTGATTCGTGGAGCCTTATAATCTGGGTTGCTATGTGAACTTCCTCCTCGCTGGGCAGATCAATCTTCACCAGCCATGGAGGATAGGACAGTCTGGGACAACTAACCAGACGAAATATTTTTCGAAAAACAGTACATCATACGAGACGCCTTAAGATGTTACCAACTGACATGCTATCAACATCACAGATAACTTTACCGAAACCAGACGTTTTGCTCCCAGTGGGTCGAATAAGCTGAAATAATTTTCACAAGTTGCTAGATAGAGACGCAGCTTCTAACCACCAAGTTTTATAATTCATAGGCTAACTTGGGCGTAAGTAAATTTGAAGATATGCTTCGATAACTGATACAGTTAACCAGTGACATTTATCCACTTAGCCTGAAAAGATTGTGTAGTAGAAAATTCTCACCTTTATTAGTAGATTAGATACTTGGTGGAATCTGATAACAAAGGTAAAGCGGTTACTTAAATTCTACAATTATGTTGTGGATATGAAATTCATTGAATGTTAGCTTCCCATTAGAATATAAGGTGCAATTTCAAATCCGCACACGCTGTGGGTAGAAGTTAAAGGGATAATTACAAATATTTAACTTCCGAAATTTCTAACCACAGATACAGTGGATATATTGATGAGTTGAGAAAAGCTACTACTGCTTGATATAGAAAAAAAAAACAAGTCGTTGCATATGAGGATCATGAATATTGTAATAAGTACATTATTAAGCAGACAATTGTCATTATATTCATCATACCATCATGAAAGTATGTATACTTATCTCCAGCACAATAACGCTCATGATGAATAAATTCCACCACTATTTCGAAGTGGTTGGTTAGTATCCAATAACGTCAACATTTTAACAAAGTCAGTGACTGTAAGATAATAATTACTGGGCGTAAACCACCAGAAAATTGCTTGAACGGTATAGGGATATGACCATTTTTGATCTGATGCAGCTGTTTTTTATATACTGGTTTAGTGGTAGTATGAAATGTAGAAAATGAGACTGATATGGTTATGATTTTGCTGTCCATTATCCAGTTGCAGCTACAAAGTTCAATTTAGATTGGCGTTTTGATTATGAGACCATGAAGGCGTCGAAACAATCAAAACAAGAATTCCTCAAGTCAAAATAATCAATAATATTTCAACGCTAACAAACGAGCCAAATATCACTCGCTATAATGATATCCCCTACAACTACCTGAACTGTCTTTAAGTTTTCACTATTTGCAGATGAAATTTAAAAGTAATAACAAGTATTAAAATACTAGTATGATGGTTAACATTCATATGAAATGGTTTAGAATATTGGTAAAAAAAAAGCTCAATGTCTACGAAAGCTACTACAACCCCATTTTCTGATGGCCAATTTACCTGTATTTACTCAACTATAATTATTCCTGATTATTTTAAAACCATCATATTTATTAGAGACACGTTACTTTTAAACAGCTCCATTTTGAAACTATATATATATAGATAGTCTCGAACAATATTTTGGTTAGGATAGTGCAGTTACTAACAAATTTTAAGTAGTTTGACAAGTTATCATTGTTTAGCAAGATAGATAATAAAACAAAATGAAAACATGAATTGACTATATTTAGTTAAAGATTCATTCGTTAAAATAAACTCGTCACACTTAGATACCAAGATCATAGAGTGGAATACAAATAGTACATAGAAAGGAAGTCTGTCGTTAACAAAAACAAGCAACATAGGGGATTTTCCACTGCCAACCATGAGGTAACATTTGTGTTAATAACCAATTAAAAGCCCATGAGTTTGTGAAACTGCAGAAACTGTTAATAGGAAATAGGACACTCCGAATCCCATTGCCCATCACTTATTCTCACCTATCATATACATTGTTTGTTTTACCCGACCGTTGTTGCTACCTTGACGTGGTGGTCGGGCTTGCCTATCGTGATAAAGCAACCGAGCTATACTGGCTGGAACAACCGTTCCTCAAGGTCCTACCATGTCAGACAGGTCGGTTGAAGAGCGGTAAGACTAAAAGCAACAAACCCAAGGTCCGAAGGCGAAGTCGTACTGCTGACTGTACAGAGGTGACAGCAGTAAGGTGTTTCCTTCAGACAACCAGCATGACAGCGATGCTGCCTTCCCACAAGGAGGGGTGGGGTTAGAAAAGGTCGACCCTAAAAATGCACACCTCACCTTACCTCACAAATTTCCGTCTCCGGTGGTAAGGCCCTTTTGGAGAACGGAGCTAACACGTCAAAAACCTCCCACGAAAAGGGCGTGCGCGACCGGCCTCAAGCAGTTGTCCCTTGGGCACTGCGGTCACGCCCTCAGGTCACTGAGACCAATTCTAATCCAATTTCCTTTTCAGGTACCTCCAGAAGAACCCTTCCACGGTGTGGGCAACCGGGAAGTGATAACCGCCCTCATACCTCTAACAGCACGCAAGACCACTGTATTCATAATCAACCTCCCTCTTCAATTCCTATTATTCCTCCTACATCGACTTTCAACCCTAAACCTCCTCCTTCGGCTTCCTCCTCAAGTGTCACCATAGCCAACGATTCTAGTGCTCAAAACTCTGTCCCAGGTCTACTGAAACCTCGCTCCAAACTACACATTGGAGCTTTCAACGTACGCACTCTATGTCAAATCGGTCAGCAGGCTTCCTTGGCTAAAACCCTAGAGTCTCTTTCCATTGATGTATGCTGTGTCTCCGAAACACGCATACAGGATTCCAGTGTGGTCATTCACTTGACCTCACCTCGGCAACACGGAGAGCCAACGAGATACACCCTCCGTGTATCTGGTGACGCGATGGCCAGCTCTCGTGGACTGGCAAGAGTAGGGATAGCACTAAGCATGAGGGCCGAACAAACACTGTTAGAGTGGATCCCCGTTAACAGTCGCCTATGTGCTGTTCGGCTAAACGGCTCCGTAAAAACTCGGAAGGATAGGGACACACGTCGTTGCCTTTTCGTCGTTTCTGCCTACGCTCCCACTGACTGCAGCTCAGATGATGTGAAAGATGAATTTTACAGAAAGCTGTCCGAACTTCAGAAAGCTAAACGCTCAGATATAGTACTTATAGGGGGTGACTTTAATGCTCAGATAGGTAGCTTAAACCAAACAGAAAGGCATTTAGGTGGATATTTTAGCATTCCGGCACAGCGAACAGATAATGGTGACCGTCTGCTGCAACTGTGCTCAGACAATCGCTTATTTTTAGCAAACACAAATTTTAAGCATAAGGAGAGACATCGTCTAACGTGGCGACCGCCTGCACCAAACCAACGATGGACTCAAATAGACCATATTGCCATCAGTCATCGTTGGAGAGGGTCGGTAGAAGATTGTCGCTCATTCTGGAGTACCTGCTTGGACTCCGACCACGCCCTAATACGGGCACGCATCTGCTTGCGCCTCACTGGACGCAAAAAAGCCACAGTAAAAAGACCCATTAGAACCGAACTGAGTAGCGAGGAAACCAAAAGTAGGTTCCAGGAACAACTGAGGTCACGGTTAGGCAGTTCTGAAGACGAGGCTGACCCAGATGTTGCTTGGAATGAAATACAAGCAGCTGTGGAAACAGCAGTGACATCTATTAGCGACTTAAACCACAGAGCTTCAAAGAACCAGTGGATTTCTTCAAAGTCTATCACACTGATGGATTCTCGCAAACTCGTCCCATCAGGTTCTGAACATGATGGAGAGCGACAACAAATCAGATCTAGGTTAAGAAAAAGTCTAAGAAACGACCGTGAGCAGTGGTGGGCAACGAAAGCAAAAGAGATGGAAAAGGCGGCGACTATAGGGAACAAGACAGCTTTACAGACTAATAAAAGAAACTGGAATTAATAAGTCAAGTGTAAGTGAGATTATTTCGGAAAAAGATGATACTCTCATCTGCTCCCAGTCCAGACGTTTAGAACGATGGGCGGAACATTTTAGAGAACAGTTCAGCTGGC